GGGGAGCCAAATTGTTCTTCCAACTCTGCACTTTCATGTTCCCGCGAAGGCATGGAGTTCTCATCATCATCTTCTTCTGCTCCTCTTCTGCTTTGATCTGTAGCGATTTACTATGCCATAATACCTATGTTCCCAGACTCGTAAACATAGAATGTAGAATCTTCATTCTTCTCCTGGTTGTTATAATTCCAGTTCCATCCTTTTGTTTCATCGAAAACAACATCTCTACTTACTACAACTTTCCGGGTTTGTGGATCGAGTAACCTATACACCTTTGATCCTGGTTCAGTTCCCAGATGGACAAGTATCCTAGATTTATCATCCAGCTTTCTCATATGTGGTCTATCTATCTTTGCAAAGCCAATGCAGTCAAAGATCCGTAGATGATGAATCTTTGGTTTCTTTCCTAGGAAGACTTCATACGGAGTTCTATTATTGAGAGCTCTGGTTGCTATCCTATTTAAAAGGTATGTGGAATGTTGTATTGCCTCTCCCCATAGGTAGTTTGGCACATGCATGTGCTTCAAAATACTTCTCGCCATCTCCATTAATGTCATGTTGCATCTTTTGACCACACCATTATGTTGTGGGGTGTAAGGAGCAGTAAGGTGACGTTTTATGCCCATTTCATCGCAAAACGAGTTAAACTCTTATGATACGAACTCTCCACCTCTGTCTGTTCGAAAAGTTAGGATATTAGCTCCTGAATCTTGTTCCACCAATCGTTTAAAGCTCTTAAACTTGGTGAAGGCTTCGCTCTTCTCTCTTAGCAGGACTGTCCACATGTATCGGGAGTGATCGTCAATAAGAACAAATATGTATTTGCTTCCGCCAGCTGTCCTTGGTGTTATGGGACCGCAGAGATCTCCATGTATGAGCTCGAGTACTTTAGTTGCTCTATGTAGATTGGCTTGCAGGAAGACCTTCCTTGTTTGTTTTCCGTAAAGACAGGAACCGCATATCTCCTTTTCAAAAGTAATACTCGGGACTCCTTGGACGATCTTTGGAATCATATTTTTTATTGTTTCAGGATTCACGTGCCCAAGCTTGCGTGCCATCTACTCGATTAGCTTGCTTCTGTCAGATATAATCGTGCCTTGTCTCTTAGTCCCATATGCACTTTATACAATAGGTTCCTTGATCTCTCTGCTTTTACAAGCAGTTTCCCATCCTGATCATGCATTGTCAGATGTCCTCCTCGCAGTCATATATTACACCCTGATTATGTGGCTTGCCCTAAACTGACGATATTACTCTTCAGATCAGGTATGTAGTAAACATCCTCCATAATTCTAGGCTTGCCGTTCATATCAATGAACGAGATTGAGCCCTTTCCTCTTATATTTATTCGTGACTCATCTCTGAAGCGTACTTTTCCAATAACAGACTCGTCTATCTTGTCAAAATACCGTCAATCTCCTGTCATATGGTTATTGGCTCCATTATCGAGATACCATATATCTTCGTCATTGTTGTTATTCTCGTACTTGCTTGGAATGACTTTCTTCTCGTTTAGATAAACTACCTCATGCATCATGACCTCATCAGCGTCTTGTGTATCATTAGTGTCTTCTTCTTGAGCTTCTTGTAATTTGAGCAAACGATCAGGACAACCGGAGGCATAATGACCTATCTTATCGCAGCGATAAAACGTCACCTTTGATGTGTCTCTTCCACCATTACGTCCTCCTCGACCTCTGCCTCTGCTATGTTCACCTCGTCCTCTATCTCTGTACTCTCCACTGTAGTCTCGGTTTGATTGGTTGTCACGGTTGGAATGAATGGTTTGCTCCGATAGGTACATGAGTTTGCTCTGATCTTCGTGTGTATCTTCCTCCTCAAAGATACACTCTTCATAAGCCTTTAGACATCTCACAATGTCTTCCTAACTCGTGGTGTTTAGATCTAACACTTGCTCTAATGAAGCCACAATGTGTATATACTTCTGCCGAGGAAGGCTTTTAAGAAACTTCTTAACCAGATTTGATTCTTCGATAATTTCTCCTAGTGCAGCGGATTTTGGTGAAATCTCAGATATCCTCCCGGCGAAGTGATACAATATCAAAAATCAGTAAATCAAGGGTCTTCAATATGTGAATTATTATTAGAATCTGTTCTTCATAATTATCAAAGTCAAAGGATTCTCATTCAAGTCCAAAGCAAGATTGGTGGCAAGAAGACCATTATTTGATTTAGCTTATTTTTTTCCTTTTGTTTAAATATAAATAATTTAAATTAAATGTAATTTATTGTAAAGATTCTTTGTAAAAGCTATAAAAGCTTATTGTTCTCATTGTAAAAAGATATAGAAATTTTTGGAAAATGAAAGAGAATTCTCTCTAAAAAGCTAAGGCTTTGTTACTTTGTTCATTAGAGATTGTGTGGAATCACTTCTCTTATGTTCTTGCGAGTTCTTGAGTATTTTGTGGAATCAGACATTTGAGTTTTCGTGTTGTTTCTTACTGTCCATGCGAGGATGAGCCCTTGGAAGTTAGAAGGATGTTGCCTGTGGAATCAGTCAACCATCTATCAATTCCATCCACTGATCAACCTGAAAGAGACCTTAGTCCAGCAGGATTGATCCCGCAACCATCCACTTCGATCATCTTTTAAGCAAGTAGAAAGAGACTTCAGTCCAGCTTCTTGTTTCCACCCATTCACCCAACCATTTATAAGATCATCTCATTGATCTTATATCATTTGGTATCAGAGCTAAAAGCTCTTATCCTCTATCTTTTTTATTTCTGTTTTGTTTTTGTTTCATGCTTTACAAGATTTTATTAAAAAGAAAAAAAAAAGTTTGGTTGTTTTTATTCTTTAAATTTTATAAAACAAAAAAAAATCAGAAAAAATACTTTTATGTTTTTGTTTTTTGATTTATGCTTTTTTATTAAAAAAAAAAAAAATCCATAAAAAAAATCAATTGAAGTTTGTTTCTTTCATTAAATAAAAACAAAAAAAAACTCTGTTTCTATTTAAGTTTTTGTTTATTCCGATTTTTATTGTTTTAAAAAAAAATTCTAAATGAAAAAAAAAATTTTATTTATTTTATAAGTAATATTTGCTAAAAAGTTTATTAAAAAAATCAGTTTTTAGGACAAAACCATTTGAAGAGGGAGAGAATGATACAATATCAAAAATCAGTAAATCAAGGGTCTTCAATATGTGAATTATTATTAGAATCTGTTCTTCATAATTATCAAAGTCAAAGGATTCTCATTCAAGTCCAAAGCAAGATTGGTGGCAAGAAGACCATTATTTGATTTAGCTTATTTTTCTCCTTTTGTTTAAATGTAAATAATTAAAATTAAATATAATTTATTGTAAAGATTCTTTGTAAAAGCTATAAAAGCTTATTGTTCTCATTGTAAAAAGATATAGAAATTTTTAGAAAATGAAAGAGAATTCTCTCTAAAAAGCTAAGGCTTTGTTACTTTGTTCATTAGAGATTGTGTGGAATCACTTCTCTTATGTTCTTGCGAGTTCTTGAGTGTTTTGTGGAATCAGACATTTGAGTTTTCATGTTGTTTCTTACTGTCCATGCGAGGATGAGCCCTTGGAAGTTAGAAGCATAAATTGTTGCATGTGGAATCAGTCAACCATCTATCCATTCCATCCACTGATCAACCTGAAAGAGACCTTAGTCCAGCAGGATTGATCCCGCAACCATCCACTTCGATCATCTTTTAAGCAAGTAGAAAGAGACTTCAGTCCAGCTGCTTGCTTCCACCCATTCACCCAACCATTTATAAGATCATCTCATTGATCTTATATCACGAAGTCATCGATTTTGTCTGTGTCTTTCATCTTCATCCGATCGAACTCAGCCATTAGTGTTTGTAATCTTGCTTCCTTGACTCTTTCAGCTCTCACATGTCTGGCTTTAATTGCTTCCCATATCTTCTTCGCTGTATCAAGCTCTCCTACTTGAAGGATAAGGGTTTCATGTATTGACTGAAACAACAAAGCTATCGTCATGTTGTTCTTTTCGCCATCAGGTGGATCCGTATCCTGTTCTATGACCTCCCACACTTTATGAACTTTGAGTGTTATCCTCATCCTCATAGCCCACATGGTGTAATTGGTTGCATTGAGCATGGGACAGGTGATCGATGCTCCTCCTCCTCATTCTTTGGGTTTCGTTGATGCGGATGCGACAATATCTCCCATTTTTTCACCTAAGTTTGATCGAAAATTTCTGAAGCTCTGATACCATTTATTGTTTCTAACTAGAACTTAAGAACTCAAAGATCAAAGATAAATAAGAATAACTCTCTTATTAGCTTAAGAAAAATTGCTCAAGACCTTAAACTCTCAATTCTCTCTTAAGGTTAATGCCAAAGCTCAACATCCTTTTTATAATCACAAGGTCTCCTAATCCTGTTAGAGAATATAATTAGATAACTCCTAAATATTTTCTCTCATCCTAAACTCTTTTAGGTATTCAAATCATAACAAGACTAAGATTGTTTATGGTTCAAGCTTCTATCAAGCTTAAACCAATAGTGTTTGTAAAAAAAAGAGATACAATTCCTAATTATACTAATACGGTGAATATAAGATCAATAACGACAAAATGAGTGAATGGATAATTACATTTATTTAACAGAAAGAAGTGAAGTTAGATAAGAAAAAAGAGAAGAAAGAATTTTAATTAATGAAACTATTCATAAGTAAATATGTGTTTTATTTTGTAATTAAACTTATAGAAAGTGTTCTACTGTATTTGGTTATTATTTTTTTTAATGTTTTAAAACGGTGTTGTTATAAATTTCAATTTAACTACTCATTCAGAAAGCTAATTCGAGTGGTCAGGAACAAAGGCAGGAGGAAGAAAATTTACCATCGTAGTTTTCGTTTTGGTAATATTCTAAAAAAAGAAACTTAGAATGGTAAAATTCTTCTTCCTGCCTTTGCTCTTGACCAGTTAATCGAATCAGCTTTCTGCCTTTGCTCTTTTTCTTCTTCCTGCCTTTGCTCTTTTTCACTGTTCCCGAACATTTCTGTTCATGTACGCAGGAACGAGTTTATTCGTAAGAAATCTGAAATCTTCCTAATCAATTTTTTCTCTCTAAGATCTGCACGTCTGAACAAGATCTCGTGTTTAAACTCGTTTGTAGCTTTCTTGTGGTCTGACACGTTTTATTCAGTCATGTGGTTCCTTGTTTCCCACGTTTGTGCTCACTTTCCTTTACTAATATGTGATTCTTTTCTGGATGACAACACAGGTTTTAGAAGAGAAACATCGTGAATGATTGTTCCATAGGCTTTTTATAAGTTCTGAAAAATGGAAAAAGAAGAAGTTTCTAATGGACACACCGATGTTCCTGATGATAAGCCTGTCGTAGAGAATAGAATAGATGCATTTGATTTAGGGGAACCTAGTTTCCTAGCTGCTCAAGTAGGAATGGATGATGCAGATTTACAAGCAATTAGTTCAGTTGACGTAGTCCTCAAGGATGACCATTTTGAACAGGTTTCTCTAAGAGAGGAAACGTCCCTCTCGTCAACGAGTCTAGATTCTCTCTATCCTCCTGTTCAATCTCCACGAAGACCTAATCCAAAGGCTACAATGCCAAACGTTTCTCCAGAGTTATTGCATCTAGTTGATTCCGCCATCATGGGTAAGCCTGAAAGCTTAGACAAACTGAAGAACATTGTTACCGGCGCCGAGAGATTCGGTTCCGGAGAGGATTCAGAGACTACTGCTTTCCTTATCATCGATTCACTTCTCGCGACCATGGGCGGAGTCGAGAGCTTTGAAGAGGACGAAGATAGCAACCCTCCTAGCGTAATGCTGAACTCTCGTGCTGCCATTGTTTCTGGCGAGCTTATTCCTAGCCTTCCTTGTTCCGGCGACAGTATTAGCTTTATGTCCCCAAGAACTCGAATGGTGCGAGGATTGCTAGCGATTCTACGTTCTTGCACAAGAAACAGAGCGATGTGTTCGACGGCGGGATTGTTAGGTGTTCTCTTGCGATCAGTCGAGGATATACTTTCAAAGGACGCCAATATGTTATGGAATAATGCAACAGTTTTGTTTCACTGTGTTCAACATTTAGCCGGACACTCACTTAGTGTGGAAGATTTGCATAGATGGATTCATGTTATTAAAGAATCTCTTACAACAGTGTGGTCAAGTCCATTGATGGATGCTTTGGAGAAGGCAATGAACGGAAAGGAATCAAGAGGGCCTTCGTGTAGTTTTGAGTTCGTTGGTGAAAGCTCAGGCTTGCTTGGTCCAGGAGAAAGCCGTTGGCCTTTTACTAATGGCTACGCATTTGCAACTTGGATATACATCGAATCATTTGCCGACACATTAAACGCTTCAACCGCTGCTGCTGCAATCGCGGCTGCTTCAGCGGCCAAATCAGGAAAAACGGCTGCGAATGTACACGGTGGTGAGGGTACTGCTCATATGCCACGTCTGTTCAGATTCTTGACCGCTGATAATCAAGGGATTGAAGCATATTTTTATGCACAGTTTCTAGTGGTTGAGAGTGGGAGTGGGAAAGGAAGTAAAGCTTCACTGCACTTCACTCATGCATTTAAGCCTCAGTGTTGGTACTTCATTGGCATTGAACATACTTGTAATCATGGACTTTTAGGGAACTCAGAGAGTGAACTACGTCTATATATTGATGGCTCCTTGTATGAAACTCGTGCGTTTGAGTTTCCTCGTATATCCAAACCGCTTTCTTCATGTTGCATTGGATCAAACCCTCGTCCTACAGCAGCTGCTGGTCTACAGCAGCCTCGTCGTCGTCAGTGTGCTTTGTTTGCTGAGACGGGGCCAGTCTATATATTTAAAGAACCGATTGGTCTTGAAAGAATGACACGTTTGGCATCTAGAGGTGGTGATGTTTTGCCTTGTTTTGGCAATGGGGCTACAAATGACCATGTTCGTAGTGAGGCAGAGGAAAGTAGTCTTTTCGATGCAGATCTTGGAGAATACATCCACTTACTTTACCACCCAAGTTTACTTAGTGGACGGTTTTGTCTAGATGCTTCTTTTACTGGAGCAACAGGTGCATTTATTTTCCTCTTCATTTATTATATTAAAGATCTGAAAATGCTCTATAATTTTGCAAAATATATGTTTTCAGACTAAGTTGTTGTCTACTTTCATATGTTCTCGTTCTATAGTACTTTGTTTTTGATGTTTTCATGTTTCTTCAAAGTATAATGTATTTCTTTTCTGTTGTAATTTTCACACTTTGTTATTTGCTTTTCCCTTACATTAAAAGTCCTTTATATTTTTTTTTGGTTAAGGCACACAAAGACGACCAGCTGAGATAATTGGACAAGTCCATGTCGCAACGAGAATGAAGTCAGTGGAGTCTTTCTGGGCCTTAGCTTATGGAGGTCCCATGTCTTTGCTTCCTCTAATCGTAAGCAATGTGCATAAAGATAGCTTGGAGCCGTCTTGTAGAGATCTTCCATTGTCTTTGGCAACGTATTCTCTTGCTGCACCTATATTTAGAATCATCTCAGTCGCTATTCAACATCCTGCCAACAAGGAAGAGTTGTCTCGTACTCAAGGGCCTGAAGTTATGGCCATACTCTTAGATTATATTCTTCACTCACTTGCATCCCTTGACCTAAATCATGATAGAGTAGAAGATGAGGAACTAGTTGCTGCCATTGTTTCGGTTTGTCAATCTCAAAAGAACAATCATGATCTTAAAGTGCTGCTCTTCCGTGCACTGCTATTAGATCTCAAGATATGGAGCGTGAGCAATTACAGACTTCAGAAGAAGCTATTGTCATCCCTTCAAGATATGGTTTTCACTGAAGCCGCAGCTATGAGGGATGCTGATGCTATTCAGGTACTTCTGGATGGATGTCGGAGATGTTACTGGACGATTCAAGAGAAAAACTCTTTGAACACTTTCTATCTGCATGGGGACGCACGTCAAATGGGGGAAGTTAATGCCTTGGTTGATGAGCTTTTGGTGATTATTGAACTTCTAATGGGAGCAGCGTCTCTTTCTTTTGTTGCTGGTGATGTCCATCGATTACTTGGCTTCATCATTGATAGTCCACAACCAAATCAGGTAACATGTTTGTAGGAAAAACAATTCTTATTCTACTATGTCATTTCTCAAAAGAAAATTATAGGGCCATTTATTTAAATAATTCATTTAACAATTTTATTGTGAAAATATTTTTTTTATAAAATGACTCATAAGAAGGATAGATTAGTATATTTTCACTATGCTATTAGTCTACTATTAATTTGTATCTAGACTATTATTAGTTTGCATTTAATCTACTTTCAATTGTACAATAGTTAGTCATCATTAGTCTATATAATAGAATAGCTAGAAAAATAGTACTGATAATTATAAAATATTTTGTAGAAAAGTTATTTTTACAATTTTTCTTCCTATATGTTCTGCATTATTTTCTTATTATATTTGCTTATTATAGATCATTTTGGATTATTTTCTCGTTTTTAGATTCTTGATCTAACATTGTTCAGATGTTATCCCTATCTAGGTTGCAAGGGTATTGCATCTCATGTTTAGGTTGGTTGTACAGCCAAATGACACAAAGGCTCAGACATTTGCAGAGACATTTATCACATCTGGTGGGATCGAAACACTTCTTGTTCTGCTGCAGAGAGAAGCCAAAACGGGTGAGGGACACGTTGCAGAATCTGTGGCTAAGGGTGTGACAAGCATGCTGCCTAATCATAGTGAACAGGTTCATCACGATGAGCATGATAATAAAGTAGCATCTTTGAAAGAAACAGAGTCAGTTCAACAAGAAAAAGTGCATGGATCTGCCACTGTCATTTGTGATAGTGACTCAGTCACCATCTCCAATCCAATGAGTGATGATAGAGTATCCTCTGTGTCTGAAACTCCATGCAGCAATAACGTAAGGAATAATACAAGAAGCAACGTTGACGAGAGTGATTGCGTCGTAGTTGGGATCATCAGATTGATCGGCGCCTTGATTTCAAAAGGGCACTTGAAATTTTCACTTGGTGTTGAATCTGATGTCATGAGTAACCTCATGGGTAGTGGGCTTCATGAAAGTGGTGGAACAATGTTTGACGATAAAGTTGCATTGCTTCTATTTTCTCTGTTGAAAGCATTTCAAGCAGCTCCAAACACGCTGATGACCGACAACGTCTATACAACTTTGCTTGGGGCTTCGGTATGATATGTTTTCGTTCTTTCATTTTTTTTTTTAAAGTAAAGTATGTGGTGGAAAAAAAGAGAGAAAATGATATACAAATCATCATAAGACGTCATTTCAAAGTGATTATTATGATTAAAAAGAATATATAAAAAAGATTTTTCTATATTTGGTGCTACACTCACTACTTTAGTTTTTGGCTTGAATTTAAATTTTATTTAATATATGGGCTTTTCTTGCAGATCAATGCTTCATCAACTGAGGATGGCCTGAACTTTTATGATTCAGGTCATCACTTTGAACACTCTCAAATTTTGTTAATCCTCCTACGTTCTCTACCATTTGCATCTAAAGCTCTACAAAATCGAGCACTTCAGGTATAGATGACATAGTTAAATATATTTTTGTGCCTATAACCTGACTACTTTTAAAAACGAAGATTATGCACTTGTAAGATTGCGTCGATTGAATCGTCAACCCAAACTTATTATCATTGCTGAGCTATGAAAGTCAATAAAGTCTTGACTAGTTTGTAAAATTTTACTTATACAATGTTTCTACGCTCAATGTCTCATTCTGAACTAACTATTTTCACATTAGGATCTCCTATTTTTGGCTTGTAGCCATCCGGAAAATAGGAGCAGTTTGACAAAAATGGAAGAGTGGCCTGAGTGGATATTAGAGATTATGATCTCAAACTATGAGGTATAAATCCAACCACCGTTAAAATATTCCTCAATGATATAAATAATTAATGAGGGGACGCATTTACTTTGATATTCTAGACAGCTATTGAAGCACGTAGTAGCAAACTCTCTAAATATGCTAATTATATTATTGTGTGTACACACAGAAGGATGCAGAGAAACAGTCTGCTTCACCCAGTTCTGCTGAGGTGGAAGATTTGATCCAAAACTTTTTGATCATAATGTTGCAACATTCAATGCGTCAAAAAGATGGCTGGAAGGTTAATTTGTTTGTTTCAATTTTGTATCATGTTACTTCCTTGTCACCTTTTTTTCTTAATTTTTTTTGTTTATATTTCTTGCAACATCTCATTCATTTTACAGGATATTGAGGCTACAATTCATTGTGCAGAGTGGCTCTCTATTGTTGGTGGGTCTAGCACGGGGGAGAAACGGATTAGGTACTTTCATGCACCAAATTTTAACTCTTTCCTTTTGGGATGACGATAAAGTTTTCGTGCCACCTTTTATTGTGACGGTTGTTAGTTTGTGAAGGTCTCTTCTAGATCATATTATGGCATTACTTCTTTCATTGTACTTTGAGATATACATGTTTTCAACTGTATTTATATCTTCTGTTCTTTTTAACTTTCGAAGGCGTGAGGAATCACTACCAATTTTCAAAAGAAATCTTTTGGGTGGGTTGCTAGACTTTGCTGCTAGAGAACTACAAGCTCAGGTAACTCTTATTTTACCATAATACCGTTTATTAGAAGAACAAACTTGAGATGCTTTTTCCATAAAATACATTGTTCATTGAGTTTTATATGGTGGTTTGTTGTACATAACTTATATTTTTGGGATAATTTTTGAAATGTCTATTTGACAATTTTATTATGAAACATAACATTTTCTAAAAAATATATAAGACAAGTTCATTAGTGTGTTTTCAATCTGTCATTAATCTGCTAGTAGTTTGTATTTAGTCTGCCATTAGTCTGTCAGTAGTCTATGTTCAATTGTATGACCAATCAGTTTGCCGGTAGTCTGCATTCAGTTTGCCACTAGTTTGCATTCAGTCTGTTATTAGTCTACAAGTAAAAATAGTTAGAACGGTAACACTGATATTTATAAAAATTATAAAAAATATCATTTTCACATTTTTTTTCTTAATGTGGTATCCTTTTCATATTAGTTTTTCATTAGGTCATTTTGGAGCATTTTTCTATATTTTTACATGTCATATTATGTTGGGTGACGGCTATAGTTTGACCCAAAATTTGTTATTTTTTCCCCCTCCCCCAACAGACTCAAGTTATCGCTTCAGCATCTGCTGGTCTCGCGGCAGAGAGTCTAGCACCAAAAGATGCAAAAGCAGGAGTAGAAAATGCTGCTCAACTTTCAGTGTTTCTTGTGGAAAATACAATAGTGATTTTGATGCTTGTCGAAGACCATTTGCGCCTACAAAGCAAGCATAATTGTGCTGCAAGCGCAGTTGATGTTTCTCCATCACCTCTTTCTCTTGTTTATCCCATTTACAACCGTTCAGGTACATTGACAACGGTCGGAGAATCAACAGAGGTGTCTAGTAGCCGTGCTTCAGTGTCCAGTGATTCAGGAGGGGTCCATTTAGATGTAAGTGAAATTATTCTCAACCACTCCTTTTGTATTTATATGTTAAAAGATCTCAAGTTATCCTACTTTTTCTTCAGATACTTTCTTCAATGGCCGATGCAAGTGGCCAAATATCTACAGCTGTAATGGAGCGTCTTGCTGCTGCAGCAGCAGCTGAGCCTTATGAATCTGTTTCGTGTGCTTTTGTTTCATACGGAAGTTGTACCATGGATTTGGCTGAGGGTTGGAAGTACAGGAGTCGATTGTGGTATGGTGTCGGGCTTCCTTCTAAAACTAGTTGTTTTGGTGGTGGTGGAAGTGGTTGGGACTCTTGGAACTGTTCTTTACAGAAAGATGTTGATGGAAACTGGATCGAGCTTCCTTTGGTTAAAAAATCAGTATCTATGCTTCAAGCGTTGCTGCTAGATGAGTCTGGACTTGGAGGTGGTCTAGGAATTGGTGGAGGATCTGGCACTGGGATAGGAGGGATGGCGGCTCTCTACCAGTTGCTAGATAGTGACCAACCTTTCTTATGTATGCTTCGGATGGTGCTCTTGTCTTTGAGGGAAGAAGACCATGGTGAAGATAGTCTGTTGATGAAAAATCTAAGTGCTGAAGATGGTTTTTCTGGTGGACTACAGTGCCCCTTAGGGAATTCTGTGTCTTTAGATATTAGTTCTCAGATGTCTATGCGACAGTCACCATCAGCTTTATTATGGAGGTAAAGTAATAACATATTTTGTATTTTTTTATACAATTGTGTTCATAAGTTTACTTGTGGTTCAGTCAAGCTGGTGGATGTTGTATGCCTTTCGAATGATTGTTTGCTCATTTCTGTAGTTATATAAAAAAATTAAAATTATTGTATTTTTTTTTTTTATCTTCAGTGTGCTCACTCCTATTCTGAACATGCCAATATCTGATTCAAAGAGGCAGAGAGTATTGGTTACAACATGTGTTCTATATTCCGAGGTTAGTTATCTTCTATATCAGGTTTCAATCATGCTCGTTTTGTATTATTTTGTGCTTTTCACTTTATTGATTCCAAATCTGTTACAGGTTTGGCATGCGGTGAGCAGAGACAAAAGACCACTACGTAAGCAGTATCTAGAGGCTATTTTACCACCATTTGTTGCAATTCTTCGGAGATGGAGACCTCTTTTGGCTGGCATTCATGAACTTGCTACTGGTGATGGTTTGAATCCCCTTGCCGTTGATGATCGTGCTTTGGCTGCTGATGCTCTCCCCATTGAGGTTTCCACAAATCTCTTCACTTATCCTTAGAAAATTTTGCCCTTTTGTTTCCCCCTAAGTTTTATTTCAAGTTTTTTTGTGGTTTACTAAGTTGTTACATTTTTAAATTTAGGCGGCTCTTTCGATGATTTCTCCGGAATGGGCAGCTGCATTTGCATCGCCTCCTTCTGCAATGGCACTGGCGATGATAGCCGCCGGTGCAGCTGGTTGGGAAGCGCCGCCACCTCCAGCACCTCCGGCACCGCCGCATCTTAGGCGAGATTCTTCATTGCTTGAGCGTAAAAGTACCAAACTTCAGACCTTTTCAAGCTTCCAGAAACCCTTGGAGGCTCCGAACGACGATACACCCGGCCGACCAAGAGACAAGGCTGCTGCAAAAGCGGCAGCTCTAGCGGCTGCGCGTGATCTTGAAAGAAACTCCAAGATTGGTTCTGGGAGAGGTTTAAGTGCTGTTGCGATGGCCACATCCACGCAGCGGAGAAATATCAGTGACATGGAGCGTTTACAGAGATGGAACATCTCTGAAGCCATGGGAGTTGCATGGATGGAATGCCTCCAGCCAGTGGATACAAAATCAGTCTATGGAAAAGATTTTAATGCTTTGTCCTATAAATTTATTGCTGTACTTGTTGCAAGCTTCGCCTTAGCACGTAACATGCAGAGATCTGAGGTTTTTCTCTCTACCTTCATCACACTTTTTGTTGTTGTTTTCTTGAAGTGGTTATTGTATGTTCTAATCCACATTTATCACTCACTAGATTGACAGGTGTATACGAGATGATAATATAGTGAGAAATCGCTTATGCATGGGACTTCGTGGTTGGCGCAAACTCGTACATTACTTAGTAGAGATGACAAGCTTCTTTGGACCCTTTGGAGACCATTTATGCAGTTCCCAAAACGTAAGACGCGAGGTTCTGGTTTAAATTTTTGAAATATGTTGATAACTTTTCTAGGGATGTAACATCATCACATATGTAGGTTTTCTGGAAACTGGATTCTATGGAAAGTTCTTCGAGGATGAGACAGTGTTTAAGGCGGAATTATTCAGGTACTAATCATCTTGAGGCAGCGGGAAACTATGATGATCAAACAGACTTGAAGAGTAATTACGATAAGTTGGCTTCTCCGTCAAGTATACCTGTTCTTGATGCGGAAGCAATAGCAAACAAAATAATAATTTATGAAGATGATGAACATGGAGATGTTGATGATCTTGAAATAGAGGGTAATATAGGAAAAAATGAAGAGAGAATGTCTGGCTCACTTGACGATGCAAGACGATTGTCAAGTGGGATCAGCGATTCTCAACCGTTGAATAACCAAGATGTGGTTCAAAATTCTACAAAAGTACTTGATGAAAGGATTGTTCTTGAAGTTTCCTCTTCTATGGTCCGGCCACTAAAGGTCGTGAAAGGAACTTTTCAGGTATGCTCGACTAAATTATATCTTTCTTTTTTTCAACAAGTGGCTAACACCAAGAACATTGTACTGATGACCAAGAAATAAAACAAAGAATAAGCCAAATATTTTTCCTTGTATAAATGACTAGTTTATGATGGTTGTCTTATGCCGTTCTCAGATTACAACATGGAGAATAAATTTTATTGTTGACATCAAAGAAAGCCAACATGTGGATGATAAGTCAAATGGGTCAGAATCAGGAAACCATGAAAGAGATCGTAGTTGGCTCATGTCTTCTCTTCATCAGATTTATAGCCGACGGTAAAATTTTATCATCAATGTTTGTCTCTAGCTCACTATTTTCTACGTTTTATAGTGTATCTTGAAAAGTTAGATGCTCTATTTTCTAATATTTTAGGATAGTTTGATAGATGTAACTAAAGTACATTGATTGATTCATTTTATTAGATACATCTTTACACTCTCAGCTTTTTGATATACAGATATCTATTACGAAAGAGTGCTCTGGAATTATTTATGGTCGATCGCTCAAACTTCTTCTTTGATTTTGGGGTATCTGAAAACTCTCTCTATTACATTCCCTTATATACATATCTGTTTTTTTTTCCTGCGTTAATTTTCTGAATTTTGATAAACATCATAGAACGCTGAGGGACGAAGAAATGTGTATAGAACTATTGTTCAAGCAAGGCCTTCTCATCTAAATAATATTTACCTGGAAACTCAGGTTTGCGTTTTTTATTGTCTGTATGCCCATTCTTTAATGCAAGGAAACCAAGCTGAGTAAATTCCCTCTCTGTGCTATAAAACTTACATGAATCGTTTCCTATTTTAGAGACAAGAACAACTTTTCAGAAGAAGTCAGTTAATGGAACGTTGGGCTAGATGGGAGGTACATATAGAATATCCCTAACTCTCATCATACTTTTTCATTTTCTACCTCTAAAAATAGCGTGTAGCAGAGAAGTAACCCTAGATGGATAAATTTGCATCATTCCTACAGATCAGCAATTTTGAGTACTTAATGCAGCTCAATACCATAGCTGGGCGTAGTTATAATGATATCACTCAGGTAAATCTTATGCTAGTGAGATTGCTAGCCCACTTCATAATTTTAGCACCAAATATAACCCTTCCTAAAATAACTAATAAGAAAGGTCTACTAGTATGTTTTCAGTCTGCTGTTAGTCTGCTATTAATTTCGATTTAATCTACCGTTAGTTTGCCTTCAATCAATGTTTAACTATATAACCAGTCAGTTTGCCAGTAATTTGTATTTAGTCTGCCAGTAGTCTGCATTTAATTTGCTAGTAATCTGCATTTAGTTTACCATTAATTTACATGTAAAAATAGTTATAAGGATAGCACTGATATATATTAAATATTTTTATAAAAAATTATTTTTACAATTTTTCCTTAGTGGATCATTTTCTCTTTTTCTTATACGAAATTTATAATATCACTTTCAACTTTGGTTATCTCGATCTAATTTTTATATCTTTGCAGTATCCGATTTTCCCGTGGATTTTGTCCGACTATATATCAGAAGTTCTGGACCATTCAAATCCATCAACCTACAGAGATCTCTCCAAGGTTGTATTACTTGTACTTTGGATCATATATTAGGGTCCATTAAACTAGATATATTGTTGTAATGTGAGTATGTATATCTGCAGCCAATTGGTGCATTGAACCTAGAGCGGCTGAAAAAGTTTCAAGAACATTATTCGAACTTCGAAGATTCAGTCATCCCCAAATTCCACTATAGTTCACATTACTCAAGTGCTGGAGCAGTAGGTTATCTTCTCTATGATACTATTACTATATATAGTATTTTGATTTTGCGAGAGGATAGAGTTTTGGAAATGTGATGGTACATGCATGTGGTTTATTTTTTTTTTTTTAATCTCATGTGTTAGGTGTTGCATTATCTAGCAAGAATCGAACCTTTTACAACCCTTTCATTTCAATTGAAAGGTACAGACCGAATGTTTTCAGACATTGCAGCCACTTGGAAAGGAGTTCTCCAAGATATGAGTAATGTGAATGAGCTGGTAAGAATTGGTTCTTCCTAAAAAACACCAAACCAAATTGCAAGTGAAGAGTGTACATATTCATGCAACCTAATTTTGCTTTATAGGTTCCAGAGTTGTTTTACCTTCCTGAGGTGTTGACCAACCAGAAATTAATCAACTTTGGTACAACACAATTAGGAGAAAAGCTTGGTATGAGTTTTTCTTTTTGTTGGTTCCCTTCCTTGTACAAGCAAAATATCACTCTTGAAATTATAAACCATCTGTTTCTGATATTGTTCTTGGCCCATCAGATTCTGTAAAACTTCCCCCTTGGGCTAAAAGCCCGATCGATTTCATACACAAGCAACGAATGGCTCTTGAGAGTGAGCATGTCTCAGCACATTTGCATGAATGGATTGATCTCATTTTCGGGTTAGGGTTTTCATTTTCGGATTGATCTTGTCAATACATTTTTGCACAGTTTGGTCTCCTCTTTCAAATAACACATGCAGAAAACAATTACGGGTAAGATATTTGGATTGCATTTTTTACTTTTTCTTTTTTTCTTATCATCATTTAGGTATAAGCAACGTGGTAAAGAAGCTATGCTGGCGAATAATGTTTTCTTCTACACTACATATGAGGGAACTGTTGATATTGATAAGATCACAAATCCTGTAAGTTATCCCTGCTTGTTGTACTATTTGAAGTTGCTCAGATTTTGGTATTACTTTGTTTATGTGACTTTTTTTTTAATGTGACTTGCTTGTGGGTATTTTGATAAAGGTACAACAGCGAGCTACTCAAGACCATATAGCTTATTTTGGGCAAACGCCATCTCAGCTATTGACTGTGCCTCACATCAAAAGATTGCCTTTGAAAGATATCCTTCATATGCAGGTAAATGCGTGTGTATGAGATTCTAAGTTACACTTTGGCAAAGAAGAGGATCTTTCACAGCTAAATTTGACAAACACTTTTAAAAATTCTTGTTCAGACCATCTTTAAGAATCCAAAAGCGATAAAACCATATCCTGTTCCAGCTCCAGAACACTGCAACTTACCTGCTGCAGCTATCAAGGCATCTTCGGATAGTGTTGTTGTTGTTGACATGAGTGTGCCTGCAGCACATATTGCACATCACAAGTGGCAACCAAATACTCCTGATGGCGAGAATGCTCCTTTCATCTTTCATCACGGGAAGGTGGCCGGAACATTGACACGCATGTTCAAAGGTGATTCGGAATATCCACAAGCACATGCATTTGCCTCATCAGGAATCAGAAGCTCATCGGTCACTGCTGTTACAAGTGATGGAGAAATTATCACCGGTAAGCAGTTTTTAAAGGCTCTGATCTATGTTGTAAAGGTTTGATGATTGAAAAAGAAAGATCTATGTATGTTCAATTAGGTGGACATGTGGATAATAGCATCAAGCTAGTTTCATGTGATGGAGGGAGAACACTGGAAACAGCTTTTGGTCACTGTGCTCCTGTGACATGTCTTGCTCTGTCTCCAGACAGCAACTTCCTTGTGACAGGTTCACGAGATACGACTGTTTTGCTGTGGAAATTTCACAAAGGATTGTTAACTTCTCAGACAAGCGACTCCGAGCAGACAAAAAGCTTAGAGACACCTTCCTCTGCAAGCAACACCAAAAAGCATCGCATTGAAGGGCCCATACAAGTGATCCATGGCCACCGAAGAGAAATAGTTTGTTGTTGTATTAGCTCAGATCAAGGAATCGTTGTTTCTTCCTCTGAGTCATCAGATGTTCTATTGCATTCCATTAGAAAAGGTCGACTACTAAGGCGACTTGTTGGCGTCAAGGCACATGCTCTCTGCATTTCATCTAATGGAGTTATAGTGGTCTGGAGTAGATCAGAAAATTCTATCAGCACCTTCACCATTAATGGAGTTCTTGTTTCCAAAGCAAAACTTCATTCCTCTTGTACGGTAAGTTGCATGGAACTATCCATGGATGGTCAAAATGTTGTGATTGGCGTGAACTCTTCTTCCGACATTGGCGATGAAGAAGATTCATCATCATCATATGGAGCCGATGAGATTGACAGACTTGAAATCACATCTCCTTCAATTTGCTTCCTCAACTTACACACTCTCAAGGTATTGTAATATTTATTTATTGGGGTTAACTTGGAAAGCAAGATATCATAATCCAAAATACTTATTTCACAAGATACACATCTTGCTTCTCAAGTTATTTTTCAATATTATTTAAAACGCTTTAGATATTTTCAGTAGGATATATCAATTTCAGTGTACCAAAGCAGAGAGTTTCTTTATCTGTAGATGTTCCATGTGATGAAGCTCGGTGAAGGGCAGGATATAACCGCTATGGCTCTAAACACGGACAACACTAACCTCTTAGTTTCCACTAAAGATAAACAGTTGATCATCTTCACTGATCCAGCTGTAAGTTTTGCTACCTTTTTCGCATTTTCATCTCTTTAGTTGTTGCCGTTTTAACTTTTTTTCTTTTTTGCTTTCATGGAGCCTGTAAGAAAACAGAAATTTTGTTTCAAATTGCTTGCAGTTAAGATCGAAGTTGGTGGATCAAAAGCTGAAACCTGGCTCTGAATAAAAGATGGATTCGACCCTTTAGATACAAATTTACAACAGCTCACATAGAGAATTTTACTGCATGACTTCAGGTTTTCACATGTTTGTTTCGTAATTATGTGTGTATCAGAATCAGTACATATGTAGATAAAACGCTATAGAGATTCATGAGACCATTTGCTCATTGAGTTGATTTTTTTTCTTCTTTTAATCTTCTGCAAGTTAGGTTGAAAGAACGTCATAATTGTCTTATACATACTTATCTTCTTGGTGCAACACACACTTCTTTTTCAATAGACATAGAAGACACTATTTTTTGTTTGAGAGAAAAAGAAAGACTAAAAGAAAGATAAATAGAAATTAAGACAGACTAAATTCATAAGCATTTCTCTCTTTTTTTGTGCGAATAATTCACAAGCATTTCTTTGTTGGAAAACTAATATCTTAAGAGATCTACAGAACAAAACTTTGATGTAAAGACACACAAAATGTTACACTATAAATTATTTTCAATCTTCAAGATCTTCTTCATCCATGTCTTCCCCATCTTCTTCACTACCCTCTTCACCTTCTTCTTCTTCGCTATCATCATCACCATCTTCTTCTTCATCCCCATCTTGCTTCTTCTGCGCTTTCTTTTCATCCACGTTTTCTGAGAACAAAACCGATATATAAAGTTATAAACCCTGAGATTAGAGGATTCTTCCTGTGATAGACAAGATTCAAGATTAGCAGCGTTTTACCATATTCACTGAATATGATTCCTCCTGAACACAATCCTTCCTCAACTTTAACGAGCTGCATCGTCATTCTCGGTCCAATTTCTTGCAGCTTCACCGCGCTCTTTGTGGAACTCCGGTTAACTCGGCCGAGATCAGACGATAGTGTAACTGTTGCCGCTTCTTCATCTCCTTCACTTGATAAATTTCACACAGACATAAAGGGAAAACATATTATTTTTAACAAATGTGGGATCCTTACTTGGTGACATAATCACTAACATCCTGCAGGTTCCTAAGATCAGGGACCTGATGGTTTTGCACAAACTTTCTGATCATACGAGACACTCCTACAGGCTGAAGCCTTATCGAGTAATGCCTGAAATCAACGAGTTTTGTGTCTTTGTTGTAGTGCAAAAGCACTAGTCTCTGGCATGTGGAAAGCTTGACCTAAATCATCACAAGAACTACATCAAATTTGCTGAACAAGTGTTACAATCAGTAATTAAGAAAACAGGGCAACAAAAACTTACAGTGTTGATGTCGATAGAAGGGAATATGTTCTGGAACATAATAGTTGCAAGCTTCAAATGCAGCTCCTGAGTACCAAATCCAGAAAGGACAATCTAACACAAGAGAAAAAATTAAACATTCTCACAGGTATTAGCAAAAACAAAACGGGAATCAAAGAGAGATTGAGAGTGATCATCACCAAAGGAGGACTTTTGAAAAGATCTTGAGGACATCTAGGACGAAGCTGAGAGCGAGCTATATCTGATGCTAAGGAATATTGATGGATCTTGAATGTGAGAGTCGGTCCCTGAGGTGTTCTTGCTACCCTCAGAGACAATGCAGATTCTGTCTTCGATAGCATAAGGAAATGCGAACACCCATTGGACCTGACACATTCAAGAAGTCTCTTAAAGTGTTCCGCTTCTTCTCCTGCAAATGCAAATAAGAAGAAGATGAAAACAATGGAACATTTAGCATTACTAATTATCAAATCACAACCTTTCCAGTATAAACTTTATCAGTCATATAACATATTAAGCTCTTTTTCCTCCAGCTAACAGAGTTTTAACTGACCTTTAGACTGAGAGCAGTGTAAGGAAGCATGAGCTTTCTCAAATCCATCTAGCGCTGTTTAACAGAGCCATGAAGTTTCGTTCTTGAAAACACGAAACTCTTAGGGATCTTATCACCAGTGACATGATCAACATTCGCTTGATTCTTCTTCACAATAGGCTTCACAGAGACCCTACCCTTCTTATTCTATATCAATCACAAAGTGTTAATAATACATATTATTGGAAAGAAACACACAGAATTGGAAGAGAAAACTAAACACAGACTTACGTTTTCGAAACGAGCCATTTACTATGGGTTTGAATGGTATGCAGCTTTTTCACGTTTTCACGTTTTAGAAACTTGATTCTGTTATTTTTTACCATTCATGTTATTCATCACGTTTTCACGTTTTTTTATGTTTTTGAAACGTGATTCCGCTAGCGTGTTAAAAATATAACTAAAAAAAACAAAACGTGATTAATCTACTAAAAGTAGCTTTTCAGCGTTTCACAATTATTCAGCTAAAATATTATTCAGTTCAGTTCATTCCGCTAATAATTTTTCAATTATTCTGTATTCTGTTATTCATTTGACATACCAGTCAGACCCTATTTGTATTAACACCAAAGCTTCACAGATTCTGGAAAGAGAAAAACAGGATTCATGAGTACAAAAGATGAAACATGTATGTAACTGTTACCCAAAACAAGAACTAAAAAAAAACAATATCCAACAGTTCGGATTAAAGCTTTCTTGAATCGGAAATTGTAAAATTTGTGGTTTTGTTGGTACTTGGAAATGTGATTGCTTGACATAAAAAAAAAATCAAGAAAGGAGACTCAAAATTCAAGAACATATTTTCCTGGAAACATAAAACACATAACCAAGTTTAACCAGTCCAGAATCGAATCATGAATTGTTATTATGTACGCAACTAAACTGAATCGAGTTTTGTCTTACAGAGAAAATTGTCAGTTACGGTAAAAGCAAATCAAAACCTCAACAAAACACAAATAAACACGGAACCTCAGTCACAACCTTGGTCGATGTTTGAAGACATTAACGCCGCGTTATTTAAACCCTATTTCCAAAAAAATATATCAAGAAGAAAGATATCAGCAACGCTCACCAATTTCGCCGGCGGTAGCTTGGTAAGGTCGGGGAAAAAAATGCATCCCAGACTATACCCGCATTTTAGATTTTTATTTTATTGTGGGCCTAATACCGAAAAGCCCATAAACGAGCAATTCAACTAAACTAAAAGCTCAATATGGTAAAGCAATTATATAGCCAAATCTCTATCTAAAGTGTACATACAAAAAAAAAGTGTACATACAAACAATTTTTAATTTTTTTTAAGGGGTTACCGGGAGAAAAATTTATTTAGAATTTGAGAAATTTGAGATTCCATTAATATTGGTTTTTTGATTATTTAAATCTTAATAAAATTCATTGTTATTGATTTAAAGATTTTTAAATTTCATCCAAAATTCGTTATTATTCAAAAAATCTAGCTATCATTGATTTTGTAATTCTATTAAAATTTAACATTATTAGAATATGAATTTTATGTAATTTTACTCATAAGACTCAACTTTCAAAATATCAGTTATATACCCAGATTTTTGAAATTCATACATACAAAAAAAAAAGAAAAAACACTTAAACAATGACAATTGCATCAAGTGATAGCTATAACATAACATTTTCAAACTAAAGAATAACAGTTTCAAATCAAAGCATTGTTGAACGTAAAACATGACAGTTTCGAACCAAAAAAAAAATTAATACCATGACAGTTTCGAACCAAAAGAAAAATTAATACTATGACAGTTTCGAACAAAAAGAAAAATCATTCTCACCATCAACATTGACTTCTAGTTCCCACAGCATCTGCCCACATTTTAGAAGCTATCTAATTTTTCCAATTGTTAGCATACTCTCTTTGCTGAGTATCAAGGATGCCTATATTTCCATTTTCTTCAGAATCAGTATCTTTTTCATTGTCTACTTTGACCACTTCTTCAGGAATAGCATCTGATCGGCATTGTTGCCGTAAACAATTATGTAATCCAGCATGATGTAAGATTCAAGTCCAATTCACTTAGAACAACCGAGAAATGGAGCCATGGAGCTAAGGATGATGCATAACAGCTTGTACCCATGGAGAAAGGAGCACTTGTAGCTGAGCTTGGAGATGCTAGGGACTTAACCATGAAACACCATCATTCTGGAGAGCCTCCTGATCCAATCAAGACGTTGCTAACCAAGTTTAGAAGCAAGGAAAATCAATTTAAACCAGCAGAACCGCCAAATCACTTGGTTAAGCCAACAAGTGATTTCATGGAGCCATTTATGGAAAGCTCGAAGATATATGAAGCCAACATCTTATTCGACCCCCCTTTGCTGTTTAATGAAGATATTCAAGTCAGAAACCGGAGCCAAACCAAAGGAGAACCACCAAATTCCACCAAACCATCAAATCATGCAATTGGAGCCTTATTGGAGTTATCTAAGGGAAGAAGAGATTACATGACATTTTATTCGACCAGCCACTTCATTCGACCACCAAGAGCCATTTCAGAGTATACCAAGATTCCTAAACCGCCAGACCAAGTCAATAGCCAAACTCAAACCAGCCAAAACTGAGAAGATATCAAAGAAGAGCTACTTACCAAAGATGGAACCAACTTTATTGGTTCAAGGAGAAAGCAAGGAAAGGAGGGCCAACGACTATATCAGCCATTCAATCTCGACCATTCATTATCCTTAGAAGATTCATCTCATTAATTTCGTGCAGAAGACTTAAGGAAGATCCCCCATTCATTGCCAAAGACCAAATCCCTCCTATTTAAGCCTAATGGCTAGTAGCAGTTATTTCTTGATCTTTGCTTGATTTTTAATCATTAGTTACCGTTTGTTTTATTATTTTGAGCCTTATATAAAGCTCAAGCATTGTATTATTCAAGTCACGAAATCATTAATCAAAGAAAGTTGTTTTGTTTCAAAGAAAAGTATCTCTTTGTTTACAATCTTGTTCATGCTTTTTATTAAGTTCTTTTTGAGAGATTCAAAGAACTTGTGAGGAGTGTAGAATCTAGTTGTTCTTGTGAGGATTAGCCCTTGAAGAACTAGAGTCTAACTTTTGGAGTTTGTGGTCATCAAGCTTCAACCAGACTTTCAATCATTCAAGTCTTCATTCCACCCCTTTAAGCTAGAAGCAACGATTTCAAGGGAACATTACTTGAAGTGATTTCGAGTCTTGTATCATTGGTATCAGAGCTAAAAGCTCCTATCCCAGGTGTATTCTCAATTTTATCCTTGTTTTTGTTTCATTTCGTTTCATATTGTTCTTCATTAAACCTAGAAAACCCAAAAGAAATTTTTCTGTTTTTGTGTTCTTCATTTCCCAAATTTTCTAAAATCCAAAAATCCATAAAAACTGTTTTTTCTTTTTGTTTCGGTTTATTTAATCTCTTAAAAATACAAAAAAATTGCTTCCCAAAATTATTCGGACCGTTTAATAATTTGTTTTAATTTTTCAATTCAATTGGTCAAAACCGCTTAATTCTGTGTTCTTCATTTTGTTCGATTTTTATAAAATCCAGAAAAACTCAAAAAAATATTTTGTTTCTTGTTTCTGTTCTATTAAACTCTTAAAAACCACAAAAAATATTATTTTTGAATTTTCGATCCATTTGATAATTTTTACAATCATTTTTCCCCAACTGGTCGAAATCTGATTAATTGCTTGTTCTTGTGTTTTGCTGTCATTTAAACACATCTCTGATTTGTTTCACTTGATTTTTGCAAGGTACCATGGGAGATAACACACCAACAGCGGATCCTATGCAAGCAATCTTGGCTGCTATTGCCAATCTAAATGAGAATCTCAACACTTTCAGGACTGAGAGTAATACCCGCTTTGAACGCCTTGAAAGGAGAAAAGCTGAAGGAACCAGCTTGTCAAACAAGTCATACCAACATTACAAGGCGCCAAAGCCACCTGATGTGTCTCTACCTCAGGTAACACACCCCATACATGTGGCGCAAGATTTTCTCAAAAGAAGTTTGCCACCAGAAGTGAAGCCTACTGCCCCATTAGTAGAAAGAGACACTCTAGTTGTGCAAGAGGAGAACGTCAGAAACAATGGAGACACCCTGATGTTAGCTAAGGAGAGTCCGCCATTAGAAGAGCCTACACAAACACTGGAGCTTGCTGAAGCCAAAGACATCCCATTCCACCAACTCCTGCAGCATCTACAAACCAATCATCAAGGTAAGTTCTTAGACTTAAAACATTTGTCAAAGACTAACTTAGGGTTGTTTGATGCAGGTTCTACAGTTTTGAGGACAAAACCTCTACAAGAGGGAGAGGATGATGTAAGATTCAAGTCCAATTCACTTAGAACAACCGAGAAGTGGAGCCATGGAGCTAAGGATGATGCAGAACAGCTTGTACCCGTGGAGAAAGGAGCACTTGTAGCTGAGCTTGGAGATGCTAGGGACTTAACCATGAAACACCATCATTCTGGAGAGCCTCCTGATCCAACCAAGACGTTGCTAACCAAGTTTAGAAGCAAGGAGAATCAATTTAAACCAGCAGAACCGCCAAATCACTTGGTTAAGCCAACAAGTGATTTCATGGAGCCATTTATGGAAAGCTCGAAGATATATGAAGCCAACATCTTATTCGACCCCCCTTTGCTGTTTAATGAAGATATTCAAGTCAGAAACCGGAGCCAAACCAAAGGAGAACCACCAAATTCCACCAAACCATCAAATCATGCAATTGGAGCCTTATTGGAGTTATCTAAGGGAAGAAGAGATTACATGACATTTTATTCGACCAGCCACTTCATTCGACCACCAAGAGCCATTTCAGAGTATACCAAGATTCCTAAACCGCCAGACCAAGTCAATAGCCAAACTCAAACCAGCCAAAACCGAGAAGATATCAAAGAAGAGCTACTTACCAAAGATTGAACTTCAATCTCGACCATTCATCATCCTTAGAAGATTCATCTCATTCATTTCGTGCAGAAGACTTAAGGAAGATCCCCCATTCATTGCCAAAGACCAAATCCCTCCCATTTAAGCCTAACGGCTAGTAGCAGTTATTTCTTGATCTTTGCTTGATTTTTAATCATTAGTTACCGTTTTTATTATTATTATTTTTGAGCCTTATATAAAGCTCAAACATTGTATTATTCAAGTCACGAAATCATTAATCAAAGAAAGTTGTTTTGTTTCAAAGAAAAGTATCTCTTTGTTTACAATCTTGTTCCTGCTTTTTATTAAGTTCTTTTTGAGAGATTCAAAGAACTTGTGAGAAGTGTAGAATCTAGTTGTTCTTGTGAGGATTATCCCTTAAAGAACTAGAGTCTAACATTTGGAGTTTGTGGTCATCAAGCTTCAACCAGACTTTCAATCATTCAAGTCTTCATTCCACCCCTTTAAGCTAGAAGCAACGATTTCAAGGGAACATTACTTGAAGTGATTTCGAGTCTTGTATCACAGCACAAGCTAAAACCAACTCTGCTTGTGTTTTAAAAGAGAAAGGAGGTGGAGATTTGAAAATTATAAACCGAGATTTGAAGATATCAAATATTCTCTCGATTACGTTTCTCAAAGATGCATGCCGTAGGTTGAATAACTCATTTTTGTTTGCAGGATCACGACCCTCGCCTCTAAATTCTTGTAGGTGATACCGAGTACTTCTGAATGGTGCTAGGAAGTTATGACGATTTGCAAATCCACAATCTACGAGATAAAATTTTCCTGAAAATTGTGAACAAATGATCCAAGTCAATTATATATAATAAAAACGTCTTGTAATTTCTATATGAACTATGTACCTTCTGGAACTTTTAATCTGGAAGTGATCCTTGTTAAAGCATCATTTAATATTTTTAAATTATGAACTGAACCTTCCCATCCACTAAAAACATACATAAACTGTAGATCAAAGTTGCAAGCAACAAGAACATTTTGTGATACAAATCCTTTACGATTACGATAGCTTGCCACATCACATTTTGGTATCATTGCAAAAATATATGTGCCATCAATAGCTCCGATACAATCCTATAATGATAAAAATTGAACTCTAAAATAAAAAAATAGGTGAAGAAAACATATCAATGCTTGAGACAAAAATCATGATTGTGTACCTTAAAATAGGGATAAAATCTTGTGCTCTCTCTTATCTTTGCACATATTGTGACTCCAGGTCTCGCCATTAAATCTGGTGCCATGGTATTTAAAGCTTTTAGAACCTTATGAAAATTCTCGCTAGTCGCAAATACCGATCTCTTAAATGTGTCTATTAACAATATTTTGAACTTTGACCAATGGTGAGAAGAAACGTAGCCACCATTTCTTCAACGCATATGTTGTGGGTGTCTTGTAGAGCTGTCTTTTTTCTAATAAGATCACGTAGCTTCTCAAATGATGTTGGATACATACGATATAACGATCTAAAGTGCTCAGGTTCCTCCTTGAGAGCCCTTTGAATGTAAGAATAGCCAATGTTAGTAATCGGTCGACGAAGGGGCGTTCAATACGATTGGCATCTTTCACAGTAGCTCTAGTTATATTGGTTAACATTAATAGCATAATGTCCAAATCTGATTTATCATCTTCTATTTGGATTGCTTATTCTTCACGGGCATTTTCCATGATAAACCTACAAGAATATAACACTATTATTATAAGAATACTTAAAAAGACCAATAGGAAGTTCTCTTCAGATAACATGATGAAGATAGATGGCTGAAATATAACAAATATATGAACATAAGATTCTTTCTTAGTTAGCTATGAAGAAATATATTAATATAAGAGTCCAACTATACCACTACATGCAAATACTCTACAGTCCGTGATAATGGAAAGCGAACTGTCTCGTCCTTGGTCCACACCTGCAAGTTGGAACACAATCAACTAAGTCAACACTATCCAAACCAAAGCATGTATAGTATCAATGCAGAAAATGTCTTCAATGTCATACATAAAAGCGTAAAACAACTACTGCAAAAGCACGAAACAGAAACTCAGAAATGATTCTAAAAACTAACGTGGACTATATATAGTACAAAAGCCACAATATGACATGAACAATGCAAAAGTAAATAGCTATAAAAATTTATTAACGTGAACTATAGTATTATGAGAAATGTTAACGCATAAATATTAATCCAAAACCAGAAATGTTAGGCATAAATATCAAATTATCTCAAAACAAACTGAAACATCATCAAAAAGAAAACTGAAAAATCAAAACAAAGACCAAGTGTATAATTAAAGCGAAGATCACTTGGAGCTAATATTGGCTTTGATCCAACCATATCGTTCTTCTGGAGACATATCGGCAAAGACATCTTTCATTCCTAAGGAATAGATAAGGGTAACAGCTTTGAATTTGGTATGTTCATCCAAATTAGTGATCTCTTTCATAGCATCCCAAACACTGTTTTTCTTTTTCTCAGCTTCTCTTCGCTCAGCTTCCTTTTGTTGTCTTTTTCTCTTTATTGTATGATACTAAGGATCTTGTTGCTCACTGTGACCACATAATCATTGTTATCACTCTTCAGCTCCTTTAAATTGTTGCATGCTTCAGTTCTAGATCTCTTTCTTGGGGTAAATTTCTCCACATGACCTTTTAGATTTTTGTCTAAAAAAGGTGATGCATCATTACCATCATCGCCACTCTCGCAAAAAACCAAGGTTTCTTTCACTTGGTCATCACCAGCTCTGCAAGTGGGTGCATCAGTATTATCATCCAATCTAACTGACTTACTACCATTGGCGGTTACACCATCAAATACAATTTGAAGATCTTCAAACACATGGGAGTCGTATCGCATATATTTGTGGTTTGGATGTGCCTGTCAAATTCCATTACAAAATAAATAGATTAACATACAATCACGATTTTTTTGTATTATTAAAATTTATGTAAAAAAAAGACATACCTTTAAATATCCACTCCACACTTCTTCAGAAGCTGTAAACTTTTTTGTCTCAGAATCTCATCCGAACCCAGAGCTGTTACGTTGAAGATCCAAATAACTTTGGTACTAGACTTTCAAGTACTTTATTCTGCTTTGATATTGTGTATATGTTTTTTGGCATCCAAGTCTTTCATTGAGGACTGATAGTATTTTATTTTCCACGGTTAACTTGGTAATCAAACCACAAGAATCACACCATCCATGCTTAATTCCCTCCACAAGTAACTCAACCAATACTTTTGATTCTTCTATATTCCATTGATTATATTGATTTTTTTTTTTGAGATAAGTATCACCCATTCTATTATTTTTTTCAAAAACTAATCATAGTTAGTATAAGAACAACGTAATATCTAACAACTATTTTCAAGATTATGCAAACATAAAATATCAAAGTAAAAAACACAGAAAAACAAAAAATCAAACTTAAAATTAATACACAAATTTACAAAGCATAAAATAATATATGTTGAGTAGAGAACAATCATATGAACATAAATAAATCAAAGCAACAAATAAAACACCAAGTATAAAACATAAATTAATAATAAAAACAAAGAAATTACCTGTTTTTTTTTGCTTGATTGAAGAACAAGATGAAAGAGCAATAGGCCAGTGAGGAAGATCACGTCAATATATATATTATATATATCACGTTAAATGACTTATTTGGAAATTTTCTAAAGCATATACATAATACAGGTTACCTTAAAAGTCAATGAAAATCAACAATAATCAATGAGAATTCATAGCAATATATTCTAGGAATCCATATAAATCCACTAAAATTTTTTAAAATCTATCAACTTTACAAATTCTTAAATTCTACATAAATCTCTCTCCCAATAATTCATGGATTTCTAATTTTTTTAGACTCTCACGTGATATTATTTGTTATGAATTTATTTTTATGCATTTCTTTGGGCTTGTAAAAACATTAACTTAAAAGTAAAAAAATAATTATTTTACAAACTACATAAACTCTAAATTCTTTATAAAAAACAAAAACAAAATGCTAATTCGAATTAAAAAAACAAAAGCTTTAACTGGTGACCAATAAAAAAAAAATAAGAATGAAAAGGAAAAGAATGAAAGGAACAAAAGAAAATGAATGAATAAGAATGAAAAATATATAAGGAAGTAAATAAATATATTTTGTTCCTTTCCAATTTTAATAAGGAGTTACATTTGTTCTATAATTCCTTATATGATAAGGAATAAGAAGAAATGATAGGGAAATATTATTACTAGCAAATGGTAAAAAATTTAAGGAATGAAGAGGAATTTATTATTCTCCCTCATTCCCTTGGTCACCAGTTGAAGCCAAAAAGAATGTAGAAAGAGAGATTATAGATGAACAAAATGGGTTTTTAAATATTTAGGTTTTTTGTTTATAGGTTTTTATATATTTTAGGTATTTATTTTTGGGCCTTTCATATGATATTAATATAAAACTAAAAATAAATACTTAGTTTACTAACCAAAAAAATTACAAATTTCCTATTTGTGAAAAAGAATTTGAAAGATAAACGAATACAAAAGATGATGGAAAAACTTACCAAAAATAATTATAACAGAATCTTAAAAATATTTATGGATAAAGCTAAAGTAAAATCATTTATATACAAATTCTCTATGAGATAGAAAAATAAGTAAACAGGATAAAGGTGAAAAATTATGAAAGTTGACAGAAGAACTTATAGAGAATAGTTATCAAACTTAAAAAAAAAACCTCAGAAATATTAATGCATAAAACTAAAGTAAAATTATATTCTTGTGTAAACTGAAAAAAAATTTATTTTATGAATAAAGAAAACTGAAGTGTTTAATTATATAGCTTAGAAATAAGTTATTTAACAAACAAAAAATTGTAAATACTTATCAACCATTTTTTCTCAATAATAGCAATATAAAATTAATATTCGATGACTTTACTCATCAGCTAGATAATATATGAGTTTTAATATAAAATATAGAAATAAACTAAGATTATTTATTATATTTTTTAACATAGTCATGTTGTTTATATTCATATGATATGAAAATAAACAATAATATACTCACACACATTCACAAATATATTCAAGTAGTTCAACATGGCCAGATGGATGAACACATTATAATTGCTTCTCGAAAAAAGTAAAACGCCACAAATCAATTAAAATCAACAGTTTATCAAGTAAGCATAGTTTTCTGATATAAAAATTTATCAAACACATATACCATATGAACATATTTCTTTCTTTGTCTAGCCAACTCTAACTAAAATTCTCCTCATTTAGAGTTACAACCAATCACAGAACTAAATAAGACTAAAGCTTGCACATAAAATAAATCAGTAGATTGTTATCAAAATAGTAGGACTAGGAGCAATAGGAAAATGGAGAAAAAAAAACTATTTGTACTAATAAATGAATTAGATTTTTTGAAAATCAATAAACAAATTAAGGTAGCATTTCGTTTAGAGTGGAAAGGGATTGATGGTGATTTATATGAGAAACTTTTAAAATAATTGATAAATCACAATATATATTAAGAATTTTTTTTTACAATATATATATACATATATTTTAGAACAATAAAAAAACATTTAAAAATGAAAAGACAAATATTATATATTATAGTAAATAAAAATATATACGTAATAGTAATATAAATATATAAATATATAAATTTAAAATTAAATTAATAAACGAGTCCGCGCAACGTGTGGATCAAAATCTAATAAGTAATAATGCATGAAATCGTCTGAAGCTCTTTCGCCTTTCTCTATCAACAACACTAGTCTATACCACTATACCTCCAGGAAAGAAACCAGTGGGATGTAAGTGGGTGTTTACAGTGGAATATATGAAACTCTTAAGAGGTATAAAGCTCACTTAGTAACCAAAAGCTACACTCAGAAGGAGGATCTTGACTACAATGAAATGTTCTCTCCTGTGGCAAAGCTAGCTACGGTCAAGTTATTGTTGAGAGCTTCTGCTTCTAAAAAATGGTCTTTTACCCAATTAGATGTTTCAATATGTTTTTTTAATGGAGATTTAGATGAGGAAATTTATACGTCTTTACCAGAGGGTTATGCAGAGAGAAATGAGGACTCTCTACCACCAAGAACTGTTTCTAGACTCAAGAATTATATTTATAGTCTCAAACAAGCCTCTCGACAACTTTTTGAAATTTTCAGATTCTCTGTTGAAAATGGGTTTTGTGAAAGCATATGGAGTGGAGACCACACTCTATTCGTTAAAGATTGTGGAGATGAATATCTTGCACTTTTGGTTTAGGTTGACAAATATTGTTATTGCGAGTACAAGTGACTTTGATGCTGCTCAATTAACTGAAGCTTTGAAACAGAGTTTTAAACTTTGTGATCTCGATCCTTTTAAATACTTTGTGGGCTTGGAGGTAGTTTGAACTACTGAGGGAATTTCTTTATGTCAACGAAAATATGCTCTGGAGATACTCAAGTCCACATGAATGCTTGCTTGTAAGCCATCTTCAGTCCCAATGGTTTCTAATCTGAAAATGTCAAAATCTGATGGTGGGCTTCTTGTTGACAGAGAAATGTATTGAAGTTTGATTGGCAGATTGATGTACTTGACCATTACACGACTTGATATTACTTTGTTGTGAATAAGTTGTGCCAATATTCCTTAGCACCTCAGACAACACATCTTCAAGATGTGTATAAGGTCCTTCAATACAGTTGGTCAAGGTTTTTTCTACTCTGCATCCGATGATCTTTATCTTAAGGGATTTGCTGATGCAGATTGGACTTCTTGTCCAGACAGTTGACGCTCTACAATATTATTTAGTATGTCTCTTGGTTCTTCGCTCATCTCATGGCGTTCCAAGAAGCAATCTACTTTATCTCGATCGTCGGTAGAGGCAAGGCAGCGTACAGAGCGTCAGCTCTAGCATCGTGTGAAATGGTTTGGTTGAGTACTCTGCTCAAGGATTTGAAGATTGCTCCAGCTGCAGTTCATGTTCTTTATTCTGATAGCACTGCTGCAATTTACATAGCAAATAATATTGAAATGGATTGTCACACGGTTCGAGAAAAGCTGGATAAAGGTCTTCTCCATACACTTCACGTCCGGACCAACGACCATATTATTACGGATATTTTCCCTAAACCTTTGGTCCCTCAGCAATTTGAGCATCTTAAGTCCAAGATGAGTCTTCACACAATATCTTTGAAGCCACATCTTAGGGGGGACTACTATTTGAGTGGGTTGTTTCCGATTTACTCGGTTAAGTGAAATCAATTGTTTTTCGCTGGTTTAGCTTAATTAATCGTACAGATTGTATATATGTGTAAAACAGATATTTTGATCAATAATCAGAAAATCTTTTCTTCAACAAACTCTTCTTCTCTCTCGTTCTTATTACTTTTGATTACTAAAATTCTTGTTGAATCGAAGTAAAAAATATTATCATTTATAAGAATAAATTATAGATAATTTTTTTTAAACAGTACTCATTCCGTTTTTCTTTATAAGATGTTTTAGAATTTTTTTTGTTCAAGATTAGATGATATTTTCAGATATCAATGCAAAAAGTAATTGTTATAATTGTTTAAATTCTACATATTATTTTTCTATTTGTTGAATTGTTTTGGAATTGATGTTTTATTTTGAAAAAAAAAGAAAATTAAATAACTTCTTAATCTATATACAAAACCTTAAACATCGTATATAAAAAAACTGAAGGAAAGAATATGTAGTAGAGTATCTTTCGGTTAATTATCCACGGGTGGGGGAATTATGAAAGAACACACAAATCGGATTTGCTTTCTTTCTTTTACCAAATTGGAAAAGAAGCAAGAGTTCTCTTTGTTAAAGTACGACACTTTGAATTTTATTTGGGGCTTTACAGAGAAAGTGGAAGTTTGTGATTCGGATGAAACATCGTACTTCATGCACGTATAAGCCAATGGTTGTTTTAAGCCAAGCCTAAACAGCAACGATGTCGTTTCGAGTTGTCATGCAGGCTTTATTTTACTATTCACATTCAGACCCTCATGATACTAATATTATTCGCATAGACCCCTATATTATTTTCGATACTAATATTATTCGCATAGACCCCTATAGTATTTTCTTAGTCTTGAAAAAAACCCTAGATCTTGAGAGGTCTCTGTTTTAAGTGCTTTGGTTCGTCGACTCTAGGAAAAAGGGAAAACAAAAACAAGAGACTTTAGGGTTTAAGAGGAGCCAACGCTTCTAGTCTCCACGATGACGACACGAAGCAAAAAACGATCTTGTTCGGATTCAAGGAAAGAAGCAGCGAAACTCGAAC